CGAAGAGTGGCTTTTGTAATGTCCAATTCTTGTGCACGATGGCAAATCGACGTCTCTGGACTCTCGGCCACACTCTTGCGAACTGCTGCGACATTTTGTTCTGAACGAGCTCGTGTCGTGTGTTTCACAACACTAACCGAAGCAGTGCTTTCAAACTTTTCGATTATTCTTTTCACAGTAGATGAATTAGGAACATTATTTCGAAAAAATATTGGACGCCCTTTACGAATCGTGGCAATCAAACTTTCATCATTTTGATAATAGTGTTTAACAATCAGGACGGGTTGTTCTATCCTGTAATGCTCTATATTTACTAACTTCCATCTGTCTCCTATCAATCTGTCATGTCATTAATCATGTGACATCATGGTTGCCAAACTGAGGCGAAATTCAAATCTTGCGCATGCGCTCTTATTGATACACCCTTTAATAGAACAATATTATTTTGTAAATAAAAACACGGCAACTGTAGTATGATACTACTAGTATCCGTTACGCGTGGAATCGCTCTATAGGGAATGGTTATACCAATCAAAATATAATTTAATAAAAAATTTAATTCTGCAAAAATATATCTACATAGCGTTCCATTAAAAATAAGAAAGTTATTAAGGTTTAAATTTTGCCAAATTCACCCTAATTTTTATCAAGTAATTGCAAAGTTTTACGCGGGATATTTAAAACAATGTTTTAAAATTCCAAATATCCAAACCGCATACCAATAGACCTAATAACAAAGAAGTTATAGACTATTTTTGTTGAAGGCACAACTGTCAAATTTTTACGAAAAAAATTAATAACTCGAAAACTATTGAGTTTGGGTATAGGGAATGTTATAGAAATTTTATCAGGAATTACATATGAAATTAAAAATAAAAAAATATACAGGGTATTCTTTTTGAAATAACAATGTTGATGTCGGTGAAACCGGAAGTGTAATTTTGTTCAAAATAATTTTGGAAAATAGGTTTAGTTGGATGATATTTTCTATAAAAATTTCATATCGATATCTTTAATAGCAAAAATAATATGGAACGATCACAGAGCACTGGGTCACCCTGTATATATATATATATATATATATATATATATATATATAATATATATATATATACAGTATATACAGTGCTTGCAAATCCAAGTCCGACCGGGTTGGGACCTGCGTGAAAAGAACAAAGATAGAACGCCAAACAGAATTTGATTGGTCAGAGCTGGCAGGCGTGCGTATTGTAAGCGCCTTCTGTTTGGCGTTCTATCCTTGTTATTTTCACGCGGGTATTGAACAACCGTCCTTCTTAACCCGGTCGGACTTGGATTTGCAAGCACTGTATATCAGTGGCGGCTCGTGACCATCTATTAGGTGAGGCCCATGAACCGCTATATGGCACCGCAGGCAATTTTTTTTGAAATTTTCAAGGTCTCGCGTTTTTGGAGAACTTCAGAATCTAAATATTAAAAATATAGTATTTAAAAATATGTTCTTTCACGAGAAGAATTTTCAAAATTTAACTAGAATAATACAAAAAGTGCGGGACGAGGTGGGATTTTTATTTATTCCTTCAGCAGGTTTTCACATTACCCAGGAGGTACCAGGGACCCGGACCGAAATGAAATATCGGTTCCGGTACGGTTTTGGTTCACTCTATTTTCGTTTTAATGGTTCCGATTCCGGTTTCGGTTTCGTAGAGTTATAACGGTTCGGTTCTTTTCGGTTTTAAGCGGTTCCAGTGAGGTTATTTGTTTTACGTAATTTTAATCTATAACCTAATATGTTATATAATGTTATTAGAATGAAAGCAAATAAAGGTTTCGGTTCCGGTCCAACAGATTTTATCAAAAGCGAAAACGGTTCCGGTTCGGGTTTCGGTTCGAAAAAAAAAACCGGTTCCGTTCCGGTTTTCGGTTTTTTTCGGTTTCGGTCCGGGTCCCTGGGAGGTACTGCTCATTTTTACCTATCTTACAATAATTATTTTTAGATTAATAAAGGCACAATCGCACAACAACAAAATATTAATGTACGAGCACAGTAGGTATATGAAACTCAACGATTTAACATTGAACTATAAAAAAACATGAATATTTTTATTTATATTTTTTGTGATTTTTACTGTGGTATTTGTGTGTTAATATAATATATTATTTTTATTTTAATATACTATAGTATATTAAAATAAAAATGATGTTTTATAATTATTTGAATTATTTTTACATGAATTCACAACAATGTATTTTACGCTTGCATTTTTATCACAACTTTCCATTTTAACGCTAAGGCCAGGGTGTAAGAAGGAGGTGATATCGCTTCTATCTCTAAAGTACAGAAGCAGCGTCCACATAAGTCAGTATTTCGTTCGTTGTTCGTTAGATGGCGAGTCAAATAAGAACCTAAGGTTTTACCACAGACCACCAAAACATGTTTTGGTGGTCTGTGGGTTTTACCAACGAAATCCATATATTCTATAACAACTTAACTTTTAACAACAAATTATAAGATAACCAAAACCCAAGGAGAGTCTTCTACCCTCCTTAACGAAAATTACATCTTTTCTTACAGCATTATTATAATAATTTGCAAAACGATTGGCAATACTGTAGTATTGCCAACTGTTCTACCAAAATGCACAATCGCCACAAACGCACAAAAGTGACGTTGAAATGGTTTTATTTGAATTTTAATTAAGCTTAGTGGTCTATTCTTTAAAGTTAATCAATGCAATTTTACTAAAAATGGAAAAAGTTTGTTGTGCACCGGGATTAAAACAGGTTCCACTTCAATGCGCCATCTATACAGACCTTTAACAAATACTGACTTATTAGGCCGCCTTCAACGACGGAGTCTTCCACCCTGGCTAAGGCAAAGACTAAACAGAAATAAGAAACTATAAACACGCATAGATCTAATTAATAAGCTTTGTTTACAAAAAAACATTCCACGCCCTGCCCAGTCTTTTACAACGGCTGATAAGCGAGCCGCACAGATCTTGGGACTGACTCTGCTGTCTTCCATATACTGTAGTACAAGCCCAACTTTGTGGGCCTCAATGTCTACAAAAATTCGCGTATTATCCTTGCCTTGCGGGGGTGCTGGCGGCACCGTGCAGCGGTAGGGAGCATGATGTTGTATCGGAAATGTGTGACGTATATGAAGCGAATTTCTGTGATTACTATTTCCCTATTATGCGGTCGGGCAATGATTTAAGCGTTTAGAATTAGTTGGAAGGGGTGCGCGCTAAATTTAAAGGAAATATTTTAAACTTTGATGGTTATTCAATGTTTTGATACTTTTAATGACTGGAAATTAGTTTAAAAACGTTTTATATTTTAAATTATATTAAAATTTTAACATGGGAGGCCCGGCCTCAGTTGCTTTATACGACGAGCCACCACTGGTATATATATATATATATATATATATATATATAATATATATAAAATGAGTTATTTTGCAAATAATTTTATTTACCCCAGAACAAGTTTTTGGCGGTTGGTTCCTTTTCGATAAACGCCATCCAAATTAGAAAAAAAAAATAATTTGGAGTTTATAAAATATAGTTTGAAAATATTAATGTGTGTGGGAGAGAAAGAAAGAGAGAGAGGGAGAGAATCGATAAACCATTTTTTCTCTGTAAGACCGAGCGCATGTAGCTACGCGTATACGCCTATAGGCTTGGATCTGTAGCGACGATTTCTTTACAAAAAAATTCATAACTTCTACAGTTTTTGAGTCCCCCCAATAATAAGTATTCAAAATTTGTGGAAAATTTAGGGCTATCATCATGATGATTTTTTTTTAAATTTGAGGTGGCGTTTTTTGAAAAAAATTAGATTTTTTTTTGAGAATTTGAGACATATTTCTTTTATTTTCATTTGATCTTAAAGAGCGTCAAAAAATATATTTATATGAATTTTTTAGAAATTTTTTGTCTTTCGGGTATTTAAATAATCGAAAAATAAGAGAAGTGACATTTTTTTTTGTTTATTTTGTAAAACCTACAAAAATGCATAAAAGAGGTTGAAATTTTAGATTTCTCCATTACTTTAGTTCGTCTATCGAGACTGAACATTTGAAGCAAATCGTAAACATGGTCGATTTGGCGTGGACTGCCCCATATATACAGGGTGTATCACGGTCGATGGTGGGTTAGACGTTTATGGAGAACGGCAAAAGATTTCGAATTGAAATTTTTTAGCAATTATAATATCATTTAAACTATTTTTCTAAATTATTTTGAACAAAATACCTCTTCCGGTTTTAACGGAAGCGACATCAACTTTGTTATTTTAAATGGATCATCACAATTTTTTTACATTTCTAAATTCCTACCATCATTCCTTGTAAAATGGTTATACCATGTTCTATACCTAAACTTAATAGTTTTTGAGTTATTAATTTTTTTTTGTAAAATTCGGTCAGTTTCACCCTCAACAAAAAGAGCTTATAACTTTTTTATTATTAGGTTTGCTGATATTCGGTTGGATTTATTGGAATCCTGAAGAATTCTTTTAAAGATTCCATGTAATTTATTTTAATATTTTAAAAAAGATACTTGATAAAAAACAATGTGAATGTAGCTAACTTAAAACAGCAATAACTTTTTTATTTTCAATGGAACGCCCTGTATATTTTTACATAATTAAATATGAAATTATAATACCTTTTTATTGGTATAACTATTCCCATATTTATATTTAAATTTATAATTATAATTACATTAATGTTAATCTAAAAGTTTTTGCTATCTTTTAATAAAATTTATGTATTTTATGAATTTAAATTAAAATTCGAAAAATACGTAGATACATATTTTTTTATTATACATAAATATATTCCAATAAAATAAGAAAACACAATTAGGACAATTCTTTCTCGTTAAAAAGTTTTATTCTTTAAGTTTCTTTATAAGTAACGTTACCTATAAATATACATAATTTTATTTTTCAAGCTTTTTTATTACAATTACTAGTTTTGAAATTTTTCTCACCCTCTTTATTTTTTTCAGTTCATTGGAGCGTAATAATGGAGCAATATTAATTGTCGTAAACGCATAAAAGGACCTTTTCCGATTCAAAATCTTATAAAATGGAGGACAACGATACAGAAACCTGCGAAATCCTTGGCACGGAAAGCATTCTCAGGAATGTCTATTTTCAAACTGCAGTTTATCTTATGTACTGTATAATATTTTTCGTGGCCCTCGTCGGTAACGGTTTTGTTTGTTACATTGTAATGTCATCACCAAGAATGCGAACCGTCACCAATTACTTTATCATGAATTTAGCCGTAGGTGACATACTTATAGCACTTCTCTGTGTTCCTTTTACCTTTGTAAGTCTGTTGAAACAATACTGGCCGTTTGGTGTTTTTTTGTGTCCGGTTGTAAATTATGCTCAAGCTTTATCGGTGTTTGTGAGTGCTTACACGTTGGTGGCTATCAGCATCGACAAGTTTATGGTAATCATGTGGCCTCTGAAACCGCGTATCTCCAAGAGCTTTGCCGCTTCAGTCATCACGCTGGTCTGGCTGATCGCAGGAATCACTGTCCTGCCAACTGGGTTGCTGTCCAGATTGACACAGCCACCTGTAATATTCGAGAACAACACTAATATTTCCAATGTCTACATTGCATGCGACAAGTAAGTACAGGTTAAAATTCTTATCAGATTTACATGGTATACTATAATTATAATTAAATATATTTATATATATATACAATTTATGCAAGGTCAAGTTAAATTTGATTTAAATAATAAAAGTAAATATTTATTTACTTTTAAAATTTCAGCAACTTTTAAGCACCTAAAAACTAGCCATTTTTTATTGTTAAATTATGTACCATAAAATATTTTTGTAAGAGGAAAAGACACCTTGCTCTGAGTATAGTAGGGCAACATAGCTCCGCTTAAAAAAACATAAAGCTAAGAACCCACTTGGCCCACGCTACGCTACGCCATTCTACTTGACGTCGACTGACGTGGGTTCACGTTTTCAAGTCACCGTACACACTAGTGAAACGCTACGCCACGTCTTATGACAAACATATAAAATAATATTGCTTTATATAATTATTGTTAGTTTTGGTAAAAAAAATTAAGTGGGCAAAAAGTTTTTCATCTGATGAATGGGAATCTGAACTAGAGGAGTGTGCTGTTGCTATTATTATAAATAAAAAAAACAAAATTTCTTTAATTTTACCATTTTTCAATAATTTGTCCATCCATGTTTGAAAACTGTTTACAGAACATGCGCACTCCTTGTGTAGCTGCATGGAGGGGGACAACACACGTCCACACGTCTCACACTGGGGCAGCGGATGCTGAAACGTGGAAACAATTCCAAATTCAAATTTTAATAATTTACGAAACAAATCAATCAAAAGTAAAGTAAATTTATCTTTTTATTAAATCACATTAGCCTTGAAACAAATAACACACGCTGTCAGTCAAAAGACGCTTGTCAAAATAAGTTACGTGTTAGGCGTAGTAAAATAAAAATAACTAATTGTTCAAAATAATTTATTTGTTGCTTCTTCCACGTCTCGATTACAACTGAACTTAAAAATATTTGTCATTATTAATATTGCTCACGAAACATACCTAAAGGATTTACGTAACTTAACTAGATCATCTGTCGGTACAAATCATATTGCAATTAAACAAAGTATAGTTACATAATAGGAATCTAATATTTAATAATTAATTGGAAACAATACAAAATATCATGTTATAGTCAATATTGTTGACATTCTAATAATAATTAATAATTACAATCACCACCCCAATAATATTTCTAACAATTCCTAACATACGCAAAAAGTTTTGTTATTAAGCGTTTTTCTTAAAAAAACTGCGATACTTAACTGTGTTTTTTAAGGTGAAAATTGAAATAAAAAGATAAAGAAAAATGGCTAACTATAAATTCGGTAAGTAGTTTCTTTTTTAGTATAACTTAAATAATTCCTACTATTTCGTTACCTGTAGAAGTACATTAATTTTAAGATGCTGCCTGACTTAAGGTTAAGTTTTAGTATGTAAAGGTTTGCTTTGTCAAAAAGTCATATATTCCGCCATATTACAATAAAGTTTTTATAGAGGCTTATTAATTGTCATTTATATTAAAATATCCAATTGAAATCTTTTGAGATATTTTGCGTATAACGCCAATATATTCTTTTAAAGTTTCTCTGTTTAAAAAAAATGACAATATTTCTAATGTGTGTGAATACCCATTTTTTAATTTCTTTTCAGAAAATAAAATTGCTTACATAGAAATAAGCTGCAATGATCTTTGGAAAAAAATTCGAGAATGCCCTTTTGTAAAAAGCAACAGAAAACATAGCTACATTAAAGAATATGTCAAAGGAATAACCAATTGTCCAGATGAGAATATTTCGGAAATCTCGCTTCCTGTATCTAACTTTTTGCATAAATTTAAAGAAAAGTGGCGAAAAGCATCCAGAAATTCTGGAGTTTTTTTAGAAAATAATAGAAAATGGCTTAAGGATAACATTAAGTTTAAAAAATAGGTATATCAAAAAACAACAAAAATGTGGTCGTCCCCTCTTGCATTTTTCGGCTAGTAGCGAACGAAGTAAGCGTAAAAAATCTGCGGATTTAAGACAAAAAATGCCAGGAAAAGCTATCTTCTATGCAGCACAGATGGAATTAAGAAAATCAGGTAATATTCAAGCTTCTAAATTAGTACATGAGATAACCACATCTAGTCCTAATAGAGCATCAAAGTACATAAGCGCTTTGGAAAATACCAATAAATTTAAAAAATTAATGTTAACTCCAGAAAAAGCACTCTCAGTGTTAGTTGAAGGAGGCTTTACAAAGCACCAATATGATATATTTAGAGAAAATGATAGAGACCGATCCAGCAATTTCATCTATACGGGCGGAAGTATGCCTACAGGATTTATTAAACCATACCTCGAAAAGAATATTAACTTTGCAAAAGGATATTTTATTTAAATTTGATGACTATGAGCTAAGTAATTTATTTTTAATTTGTAAATATGGCTTCGATGGAAGTTCGGGGCATAGAGAATATAAGCAGAAATTCTAAAATCCGGGGGAATCAGATGCAAGTGCATTTGTTACATGGTTAGTACCACTTAAACTAGTTAATAAAGATCCATCGAACAGTGACCCAAAACAAATTATATGGCACAATCCCTGTCCGTCCTCCCCGCGTTACTGTAGGCCAATAAGACTTCAATTTATTCGAGAAACCACAGAAGTTTCGTTACAAGAAAAATTGCATATAGAAAGTCAAATTGAGAATTTACAAAAAACAAGTTTTCAAATTGAGAACAGAATCATACTAGTAAAACATATTTTGATTCCTAGTATGATCGATGGCAAAATTCGAAATGCTTTTTAAATATTCAAAAAATCGAATTCTGGCATGCAGTACCGGAATGGCAAATTGGTAACTTAAAATGTTGCACGGCTTTTCTAGCATTAAATCAATATTATTAAAATCTTTTTAATTTGATAAACAGACATAGCATTTTTGAGTACATTTATTGCATGTTTTAACATGCAATAAATGTACTCAAAAATGCTATGTCTGTTTATCAAATTAAAAAGATTTTAATAATATTGATTTAATGCTAGAAAAGCCGTGCAACATTTTAAGTTACCAATTTGCCATTCCGGTACTGCATGCCAGAATTCGATTTTTTGAATATTTATTACACCTGGCTTATAAACTGGAAGTTAAATCTTGGTCTGTCAGATCACTAGAAGACAAAGAAAAAGTTGTTAAAAACAAAAAAAGGATTCAAATAGAATTTAAAAAACAACTGGGTTTAATCATAAACAAGCCAAAGCCGGGGTTCGGTACCAGCAACGATGGCAATACTGCAAGGCGTTTTTTTGATATAACAGCCAAAATTACTCGGCTTGATATAAATGTTTTAAAAAGATTGTCTGTAGTTCTTGAAGTCATTACTAGTTATAACAGAATTGATGAAAATTTATTTAATTCTTACACTGTTGAAACAGCAAGAATATTGGTTGCAAAATATCCGTGGTACCATATGACCCCAACTGTCCATCTAATATTAATTCATGGCCCAGAAGTTATTCGAGCGGCTTTACTTCCGGTGGGTCAATTATCGGAGGAAGCAGCAGAATGCAGAAACAAAGACGTTAAGAATTATAGAGAAAGGTTTTCTCGAAAAGTATCCAGAACCAAAACAAACGAAAATATCTTTAAGAGGCTACTGCTTTCGTCTGACCCTTTTATTACGGGCATCAGAAAGACTCCTAAAGTAAATAAAAAGGAATTTTCTACAACAGCTTTATCTATGTTTTTACCACCGGATATTTAAGATCACATATCAGCTAATGAAAATTCTTCAGATTCGGACTAAGTTTTGTTAATATGATTTTACTATTTGTAACTAAAAGAATTTAAAATTACCCAACTACTTTGTTTTGTTTGCTTACTTAAGTAATTACATGATTTGTACACCAAATATTTAAAAATTCTCATGAGTTTTTGTTTAAATATTTTAGTTGTAAGGACTAGATAATAATTATTAAAAATATAATTTTTTTTCACTCAAGTTGACATACTTTGACATAATAAAACTTTGGTTTAAAAAAGCATTGTAACTTTAATTATAGTAAAAATAAGCAAATGAAAAATGTTTCATTACGCATAGTCATCACTAAGTTAAGGGGAAAGATTTTTATTATTTATTTTTGCTATATTTATGACAAATACACTATTTGAATAGTAAAAGTTTATTTAAAATTTGTTATGGGAATTTTTTCCACGTTTCGGTATCCCCTGCCCCACTGTGCGTCTCTTCAAAATTCAAAACAATTCGATTTTCGAAACGTCGTTTGACGTCGGGTGGCATGGTGTAGGGTGGCAGGGGACAAGTGAGTACGTATTGCATTAAAACCTGTGTGGGTGGCGTGGCGTGGGCCAAATGGGTTTCCAGCATAATGCTGGAAACCCATTTGGCCTACGCCACGCCACCCTACGCTACGCTACGCTACGCGACGTTTTGTTATGCAGGAATTTAACACAGGCTTTAATGCAATACGTACTCACTTGTCCCATGCCACCCTACACCATGCCACCTGACGTCGAACGACGTTTCGAAAATCAAATTGTTTTGAATTTTGAAGAGACGTGTGAACGCGTGTTGTCCCCCTCCATGCAGCTACACACGGAGTGCGCATGTTTTGTAAACAGTTTTCAAACATGGATGAACAAATTATTGAAAAAGTGTGTTCATATGAGTTCCTGTACAATCAACATTAAAGAAATTTTGTTTTTTATTTATAATAATAGCAACAGAACACTCCTCTAGTTCCCATTCCCATTCATCAGATGAAGAACTACTTGCACACTCCATTTTATTTACCAAAACGAACAATACTAATACTAATAAGTATATAAATCAATTTTATTATTATTTCATAATTTCATAAAGCAATTTTTTTTATATGTTTGTCATAAGACGTGGCGTAGCGTATTACTAGTGTGTACGGTGACTCGAAAACGTGAACCCACGTCAGTCGACGTCGAGTAGCATGGCGTAGCGTGGCGTGGGCCAAGTGGGTTCTTAGCTTAAGGCCAGTATAATGCTGGAAACCCATTTGGCCTA